TTTGCAAGTTGATCCGGCAGAGGTGATTGGTTGAAAGAGACGAGACTTTCAGTCTAAAGTACTTGAACATAAAATCAGTGGAGGAAGACGCCTCACGGTGAGCCTAATACTGAGCGTAAAAGGTCTCACTTTGTCACTGAATCTTCACACCAAGTTGTATCAAACGTGTCAGCGTTTGAAGTACGTTATCCTGGTGCCAACTATCTGCACCGAAAGTTTGGTAGATTCAATGCCGTGCAGTTGACGACGAGGGCTGATCTGGTTACAAGTCTTTAATGCTCGGCGTGAGGTAGTTCAGGGGAGCTTTTCTCACAGATTCCCATATGTATTTGGACTCCCACTCCAAAACTAGCCAATCAGTTGAATCAGGATTTCGGAATACCTAGAAGCACTTGCGGTTTTCATCTATTGTCCTTTGACAGTGAAGGGCTGATTTGGTAGACCAATGGTAGTGGAAAGGATTTCTGTTTTTTATCTTCTTTTGTACCGATTTCCATTTGGATGAATCTGGACTAGAAGGTGATGAGATTGAGAATCGGGAAGAGAGTGTTTTGTGTGAAATTGGGATCTAATATTTACGTGTCACTACAGTGCTTCGAAGAGGATTAGTTAGCCGTGAACGAGCAGGTATCCAGTCAATGAGGTGGTTGAATCAATGTTTAATCAAATTTGAATCGATTCTTCTCTTTCGTGAGCTCAGAATTGCGTGCTTCAGCAATGTGACTCAAGAAGTCCACCAAGCTTCGACAGTAGCTGAGCGGCTCCTGTTATGTTACACTATGAGTATCTGAAGAGAGAACGAGAAACTAAAACACAGAATTCATCGGAACAGGTTGCAAGTGGTTGTTGCAAGAGTGCTACGAAACTCTGGACAACCTGGTACATACTAGATGAGAACCAATCTCCATCGGAAAAAGACGTACCCAATTTCATCCAAACGCCTCGAATTATGATGTTAAATTTCGATAAAACAGGACAAAATGCCATCTATCAATTCTCCAGAAGAGAATTTGAACGTTTCAGCATTTGCAATTTGACTTCTATAAATATTTGAGTAGTCTGATTATAAATGAGAAATATCCATTGACTGCGCTAAACCGAATATTGGATGCCTACCAAATTTAAACGATTATTGATGTTTTTTGTGTTTATAACCGTACATTTTTGTTTTGTTTTGAGTGTATCACAATTTTAAGCGCTACGTCTGAAGTTGTTTGGATACTGGCTTCAAGTAACCTAGTTGCATGTCTGTTTGAATTTATTCTTTATTGATTGATTATTTCTTTTTACTGTAGAACCACGGTTTGCATAAAAATAAACTGCCTCAGCCCTCACTGCGTTTTCTGCGTCCGCCCAAACCGTGCGTGAGACTAGCCTTGAAAATTTCCTGTTTACCGCCACCGCTATCCATTTGTTTCTACGCAGTCCAATGAACTGATTTTTGGGAAATTCACTCTGTCGTCCTCCACTACATTCGGTACGGGTCACTGTCACTCAAATAATGAACCTGAAAGCCCTGACAAGGGATAGTTTGATGTTTGCAGGGAAACCTTTAATTCCTAGTTCCGGAAATACTCTAAACTAGGGTCGAAAATCTGTTATCTGAATGCGTGACTGACACTAAAGTTTCCTTGGATGACCTGACTGCCATCGAAAGAAGCTCATCTCGAATGGACAACACACTGGTCACATTGGCTTGGAACACAAATGAACCAAGTCTTGTGGAGCCATAAAGTGTAAGGTAACAGCATTATCCTCCTGTATGATGCAGGTTACAATTTGTTCTAGCAGCAATGCCTATTGCTTACCCGAAATCGCAAGGTACTTCGAAGCACTCACGGTTCCGCTGATCAAAAGCCGCCTTTGATTATTGGATCATTGGGTTCCACCCACCTTGCAATGACATGGCATTCATTGCATTTTAGCATCCGTGCCTCTTCGAACCTCCAGACCCTTATCTTTCCATTGGTATGTCCGGAACCGACTGCTTTTACGCTCTCAGAGCCAAACTCATTGCACGGTATTCGTGAAGATTACGCTGACCTTTGTCAGCGAAGAAATTTATTCGATCACGTGTGTCTCGAAGTGCACCTGGTTATCTAACAGGTCAGACAATCTGGGAATCATTGAAGAATGATGCACAAACAGTCAGATATGCGTTTGCTGATGGCTTCTCGTTAGGAGGGCGAAGCTTAGCGTATCTTCAAACAATCATTGAAAAAACTGTTTTGATGCAGTTGATTCATTCTCATCACGTGATCGACCGTGTTCCAATTTGATCCGAGAGGGAAACAATTAGATTTCGAGGGGAATTTTAATGTGTGC